GGGGCCTATGGGTAAACCCTAAAGCCCACAACCGCGCCAAACCCGAACGCCCAAGCCTTAAATCCTAAACCTCTAAACTCGAACCCCCCCTTACAAACCCTCACCCCTGAACCCCTAATTGCGCCCTAAGCCCCGAAGCCCTACTGAAGCAGCTCAGAGCTAGACATAGCGCGGTTTTGGAAGGCAGCCGCTCCTGAGCCGACAAAGCTCTTAGACCTTGCCTGGGCTTAGGGTTTAGGGTTTAGGGTTTTTTTCCCACCCGCCCAGCTGACTAAGTCGCACCGCAGGGAACTCGTTCGACGATTCTGAAACTACAACAGGGTTTAGGGTTTAGGGCCTAAACCCTAAACCCTAAAAGTATGTAGAATAATCGTCCCTTGGGGGTTTTGGACCATTCATTTTCCGACTTTTCGGGGTTCCAAATATTCTACCTTTGTTAAGGACTTGTATAAAGAAACCAGATTAAGGAGCCCCAAAAAGAAGGCTTTCGTGGCTCCAGGTACACCCTACATCGTATTTCGGGTCAACTAAAGGTTTTGGAGGTTGGGGTTTAAGGGTTTCATTTAAAGACCTACTCTTCAAGCACCGAAGGGTAGGGCCGCCGTAATGATGTTCATATGGCTATTCGGGCATATCATATCATAGTTTGCTTAAGTACAATACGGGACCTTACATCTTCATGCCTCTCATGGTACCTTATTAGTAATATTAGGATGTTTAGTGGGTACATGTCAGACTTAAGTTTTGAAGGTTCGGGGAAATTTAGAGAGGCTCTTTTCGAGTCTGGAACTTGTGCTCTTGGAAAAAACCCTAGGGTTTAGGGTTTAGGGCTCGGATGCCGGAACGGTGAGGTCTTAGAGCTGCGATTTTGCGGACTGCATGTCAGCCCCTGCGGCTGCTCTTTACCTCAAGCTCTCATGTTCCTGCACCCTCCAAAACTGAACCTAGTCTTGATCTATGGGCTTAGGGTTTAGGGTAGAAGGCCTCGCGTGTGTGAGGGTTGGGGGTTGCTGGGTTGACAATGCAGTGTTGAACTTACTTGGGCATTACTCAGAGTCTCGCAGTCTCAGCCGGTACGTGCTGTAAAGCTTGACGCTGGCAGGATATTATCCAATATCCGTTTCTAGATCCCTAAACACCCAACCCAACTGTAGCTCTTGCTATTTCCTTCAACAACAGCGGAAAGCCCTATTGAACCTGAGCCTGGGTCAGATCAATAGCATTCTTCGGCAACTTGATCGTCGAGAGCCTGGCAAGAAGCTCAAGTATTGCTAGCTCACAGCATTAAGGGTCTCATATGTGTATATATATATGTATGTATATATATATATACATATGATTTATGTGTGTATATATATATATGAGAAAGAGAGGGGGGACTCGATACAGGCTAAGCAATTAGTTGCAAATCACCAATCCTCTACCCTCGGGCGGCCCCAAGTTCTTCCGAATAGGACCTTCACGGTACAATGGTCTTGGCCCTTGTAACCTACCCAGCAGTGTCCGGGTGCGTTTCGAGCCGAATGCTCAACGAAAATATCCATATTTGGCTGGGGGGGGGGGGCTGAATAGTAAGTGGAGGTGGTGATTGGTGAAGCACTGCCGCAGAACCATGCAACGCGCAGGGGCGACAGGTCTCCTGCCGGTCTCGCATCCTCACGCAACACAAGGATGCTGCATTCGATCACGACAGTTTACCAGCTATGAGTGGCACGACACAAGGCGCAATGTCCAATGGTATTTGCAAATGACGATAGAGTGTATATAATCGACTGAAAATGTCTAGCGTTGGGTCCAAGACTTTAGGACACCTTTAGAAGTTAGAAGACGCTCCTGTCTTGTGAAAGCCTTCGACGCAGAAACTCCCGAACCCTAACGCCGATAAAACCCCTCCAAGTCCAAGCAGCCTCGCGTCACATGACACCTTTGGCAGCTCCAGGCAGAAACCCCTGTCCTCCCGCAAGCCACCAGAGTGCCGAAGCATTTGAGGCATCTGAAGTAGCTGGTCCACACTCGGGCGATTACGCGGGTGCACCTGGGCTTCAGGCCGATGTGCTGAAGGGTTTTTAGGGGGTGATGTCCCTTCTTCAGATGCACAATGCGAGTCGTCTGTCATGGGCTTGATTTTCAAAAGGAATCAAACAATAAAATCTGCCGAGAGGCCTGTAGCAGTGCCGCAATGACATCTGCAAGGTCTTGGCCTCAGGGGCTTTCCGAATATCCGCACAGTTTGGAAAGGTTGGCATATTCTTCCATGCTTGAGGAGTGGCGAGGTGTTGCGGATGCAAGGCTGCCTTCGATGCCTCTGTGGGAGGCACATAGAGTGAGTGTGAGTGAGAGAGAGTGCTTGCGTGTATGTACGTGTATACATGTACATGTACATGTACATGCAAGTGTACGTGTACGTGTAAGTTTACGTGTACGCGCGCGCGGGTGTGTGTGTGTGTGTGTGTTTGCTTGCTTGCTTGCTTGCTTGCTTGCTTGTTTGATTGTCTGTTTGTTTGTGTGTTTGTCTGTTTGTGTGTTTGTCTGTTTGTTTGTTCGCTTGCTCGCTTGCTTGCTTGCTTGCTTGCTTGCTTGCTAGCTTGTTATTTGTTTTGTGTGTGTGTGTGTGTGCGTGCGGGTGTGTGGGGAGCATGTGTGTGCGTGTGCTTGCATGTGCAGTGTATGTGTCTTCATTTGCGTAGGTGTGCACGCGCATGGTGCGAATGTGTACGTATTTGGAACAAGCGGTTTGTTGTGCATTCACACGGGCTTTTCTTTGAGTGCTGCTGATATACGGGAGGAAGTGCTAAACCTGAAACCCGAAAAGCCATGAACCCTACCTGGACCTACAGTGTCCCTACAAGCTCTATATTCATATTCTATGAGGCGATGGGGCTTCAGGGCTTGGGATCTGGCGTCTTAGGGTTTGAGCTAGAGGGCCTTTAAAGTAGGACGGAGCTTGAACTTGGAAGGTTTTGTGTCTATACTGCTCAGCACAATTGAAGAAGCTTTACCAGACTGCTGCGGAATGCTGCGAGGTGCGGGGGCAGTGCTAAGCGCTGAACTGTAGTGGGCCGGTATTCGGGGATATTGGCCCCGAACCACTTTGTGGTACCTCAGCAAGCCGAAGAAGCTCGTGAATATTGCGGCGGCCAAGTTCGAAAGCTTGAGGGGCTGACGGATTTGAGAGTTCTGCTCGTTAGGGGTTCTCTAACGAAGAACACTGCATAAGGCTCGCACGAAAATCTTCGGGTGCAGGTGGGCAGCTGCGAAGGTGTGTGGATTGCGAGGCGTTTCTTCTGTCGGGGGCCAAACAACGAACGGCCTTTCGGTTCGTGTTCGGGGTTGGGGCTCATGCCGATCACCTTCGTTTCCGGGTATGATCCTTGTACCAGACGGGTTTAGAGATTTGGACATATTACCTTCATCAGCCTGACCTAAACTTCACGCATGATTGCAAACAAACATCAGACCCATGGCTAACGATGAGCCTGCGACACTGTGGCAGAAACCCTTAATGGAACCCTGACGCCAAACCCCAAACCCAAGTACCTTTGACCAACCCTTTCAGCAACCCTTATTATGGAGCCCGTAACGCAAGAACACCAAACCCGTAGACCTAGACCCGAAGCCCTAGTGCCCTTAACCGCCTGCACCGAAGTATAGTGACCCTCAACTGCCCTAAAGCCCAGTACCCTGAATCATCATAAACCCTAAACCCTAAACCCTAAACCCTAAAGCCCAGTACCCTGAATCATCATGCTTCTGCGCTTTTAGAGGCTCAGGCAGTCCTTCCATATCCTCGGCCCTGAATGGAGGTCGGAGAGCTACCTCGATGGTTGCTTAAGGGTTGCTCTCAGGGTTGGCCTTTTAAGGGTTCTGGAAAGAATCGGCGGCACAGGTGTTGAATTTTCAGGAATTTGCGGGGCTTGGAATTCGGGGCATTGAAGTCCAAAGACAGAGTGTGGAGGCATTGGGGTCTCTTGTTGTACCTTTCACTCTGCCAGTGGCTCAAGTTACAGGACGGTAAGAACTAAGGCCTTAAGCAATCCGGCGCCAAGCCAGCGAACCAGGCAAAGCCGATGCCATGATAAGAAGTCGAACCGTCTCTGCTCTACCCAACATTAGGCCCCCCAAAAAAGGCACATAAGCAAAACTAGGATAGGGACATCTCGCATACCCCCCCTTTATAATGAAGCTCAAGAAGGTAGGTATATCCCTACAAAAAGCTTATGCGTACGTCCTTGTTCGGGTCTCCAAAACATGCAAAACCCGACCTTGGCCCCGCACCATTTCATAAAGAACGCAGCCCAAGGACCACATATCACTTTTGGCATCGTAAGGCATGTCCCGCCACACCTGGCAAGGGCGTGGCTCGGATAGACCTGCGGCTTTTATGTTGCAAACAAGCAAGATACCCCTAGAATAATAACTAACTAATTATTCCGGCCAAAACTCTCTTCGACCACTTCCAGCGAAAAATCAAACTCCCTGGCTGCATCTACTGCTGAGCTCCTGCAACTGAATACCAGACACCTCCACCAAAGAAACATTTCAACTGAAACATGATTGCGGTATGTAAAGATGAAGGCATCGATGGACAGCCACAGAGAAAAGGACAGAATACGTGTGTGTGTGTGTATGTCCGCCTGGACTTGTGAGTGTGTGTGTGTGCATTTGCCGGCATTTCCAGTTCATCACGTTTCATCGTGTTGCCAGCATACCATGCCAGCATCTCTTTGCAAAGGAAAGCAACCCTCAACCCGAAAACAAACTCCTTAAAACTGGACATTGGGAAACCCCAAAACCCTAGAGCCAAACCACACTACCAGACTGCTCGAAACCCTAGAAGCCAATACCAAAAACTTCAAGACGCTAAACCCCCGAAGTCCCACTCAATCTTCGAAGCGGTAGCTCGGTACTGTAGGATGTCCGGGATCGTTTTGCCAGCACGCTTTGATATTGAGCAGGCTCACGTGTAGCTCAAGCCTTCTGTTTGGACAGGGCCAATCGGAATGCAGACCCGTCTATGTAGTCTGCATGTAAACCAGCACTCCAAGAAGAAATAAGCACACTACTTTCCATCTGCATCTGTTGTGTGTATGTCCTTTGGGGGAATACAAACTAGAACTAGATTTTCGGTATACTACTACCTGGAGAGAACTCAGGAGCTTGTCGCGGTTACCCGAGCCTGGGCCTAAATCCTAAACACCAAAATCCCTAAAACCCTAACTCCTAAGCCCTAAATCCTAAACTCGCGCTCTGGACTCTTCTACTGCACAGTGATACTTTGCGCTCTCAGCTTTCCGTCCGGTGTGCTCGCAAGCTCGAAGCTGACCTTGCGGTTTGTGAAGCTTACTGGTGCTTCCCGGGGGTTTGGGAGCCCTGTATGAAATCCCTTCTAATGGCCCCAATATTCCATCCGCCACTCTCCCTGAAGCACCAGTAGGCAAAGGGTTGAATTGATTGCGAACATCGAGATTCGGGGCTAAGGGGGGCTTAAAGGGTTTCAGAACTACGCGTTTTTATAGGCACTCTGCAGCCAGGGGGTCAGGGTTTGGGAGTATTGGCCCGAATAGACCCAAGCCCCTTGGCGCCTTACTTACTTCTTGAACAACTAGGGTGCTTCAGAACACGTAGCTATGTACATGTGTATCTATATATACACAGATGGATAGATAGATAGACAGACAGACAGACAAATAGATGGGTAGATGAAAGAAAGATCGATAACAGCCGTCTCCAACTGCGTGCTTGCATTGCCACCATTACCTTGCGGGACATTCCATTATTGTCCTGTTCTGTCTTGTTACCCATAGGCTTCATAGTAGTTTCTTTTTGGGGTTTACCTTATAGAATCCAAAATATAAACCCCAAAAAGGACCTACTGTGGAGCCTATGGGTAGCTTGCTTTTCAAGATTCCGCGCACGTCGGCATTGGGCTCCGAGAGCTTCGAGTGGACCGGGGACATCATTATGTCATGTTACATTGTATTCTATTGTGTTATAGTATATTATCTCATACTACTCTCTGATGTGGCTTCGTATTACAGTATGTAGTTATATGAGTGTCGCCTCTTCTAGTTCAGTTTTCCACCTCCCCACCCGCTCTGAAAAAGTACGAGGTGACAAGAAGCCCATGATAATCACACCTTCGTAAGGCCATTCAGAATACGACGCAACCCATTCCTGAAGGAGCTTTATTAGGATCACAGCATGACAATAGTAGTCGAAGCCTTGAGTCTGTACTCTTGGCCCTTATACCTACCTATAGTAATACGAAGACGGCCCAAGACTCCTCTCTCAAGCCCTAAACCCTAAACCCTAAACCGATGTCAGGAGGCGTTCTTTCCCTGGAGATCCTGCCCTTGCAGCTCTCGGCACCTTTTCGGTTAAAGCGGTTTGGGGATTGCAAGGAGGAGTTGAGAAGACTTTTTGTAGTTCGCTCGGTGGGGAGTGATGAGGAGTCTCCGGCTGCAGCTTTCCTGCAGACTTTCTTTGTTGTTGCTTTACATTATTGTGTGTATCATGTTGACCGCTATGCCTTGGGTCTTTACAAGAGGCTTCTAGGAAACAACATTGAGGCCTGAAGCGATACATGCTTCGGTGCTTCAGGATTCCAAGTTAAAGTTTGGGAGTTCAGGACTGAATTTGGAGCATAAGGGTCAAAGCGTCTGTAGGGTTATCAAGATTCGGGTCTTTGTGGGCCTCGTCTTAGTTTTGACAAGGGACTCCTGCCGCGTCAAGCTTTGCTCCTTCCCCCTCTTAGCTCTCGCTCACGTGCGGGGATCTCCGGCAGCCGGGTAAGTGGTATCCTCATCTTGCTCGTCTTAGTCGTCATCCTCCTCTTCTGCAGCTGCAGCTGAGGCAGTGGCAAGGAAACTCCATTTTCATTCAGTCCACCCCAGTCCAGATTCTCATTGGATAAAAAATCCTATGACAATTTCTGTACTGGTAGCTTTTTCTGTCGAGGAGCGCTTCTGGAAGAGATGTGCGCATGAAGAAGACGTCTTCAGTGCAACCTGCCGAGGCCCAGGTGTCGGGAGATGTCTTGCCCCTTGCATTCTGTGGCCCGCGAGGCAAGAGTTGGTGTTGAAGAACCCAGAGAACCCAATACCCTTTAATTGAGGAATATACCTTAAATAGCCTTAAATCATAATAAGAAGGCCCCTATTATTTAAGGTATATTCCTTAATTAAGGGGTATTGGGTTCTCTGGGAAGGCCGCAAACACTTGGATGCCACTCCCCAAATCTCTACCCTCCACTGAGCACCCTAAAAGCTCAGCCAAGACCAAAACCCTGCTGAGCAGGCAGACACTGCGCGAGCCTGGGGCGATGATGAATCCAAAACCCTTCAGACCGTTGTAAGTCCTGCACAGCTCTGGGGTTTATTGTTCAGGGTTCAAGGCTTAGAGGTGCAGGGAACAAGGGGGGCTTTGGTGCTACAAGCTCCGGGGTCCACCCTCTGGTAGCTTGCAAAGCCACCCGGCCCGCCCTCGCAGAACTCGATTGGGCTGTTGGGGTTCTAAGGCTTTGCCTGTGGGTTTCCGTACAGCGACAATTATTATTACGATTCTTCCTAAACCCTAAGCCCTAAACCCTAAACCCTAAATCATCATTTTCACCACGATATCTTACCTTGTTTCAAAGCCTCCGGCCGAGGGTCCAGCTAGCCGCGCAAGCCCAGCCCTGACTTGGCTCAGCTTCATATCGTTCCGTGGGGCTTCTTATAAGAGTTTAAGGCTCAGAGTATAGAGTTTGGGGCTTAGGATTTAGGGGTTTAGGGTCTAGGTTCCAGTAGAATATACCCTTGAACCCCATCCGTGCTTTTCTGGAAGGAGATTGAGGAGACTTGGAATGCTCTGGAAGAGTGTTTTTCGAGGGAGCTTGCGGAGAGTTGGAAGCGCCTGGAAGATTCGGAAGTCCAGAGCAACTGTAAGCCTCACTGCCAAAATTCGAGGCTAGGTGTGGGCTATGGAAGCCTGGTCCACTAGGCGAGTTCAAGAAGGGATCGCGTCTGCACGCCCCATGGAGGCAGTGGAAAGTGTAGGACGTTTGGGAGAGATTCGGGAGCCGTGGGAAGCCCTACCTCAACCCCAGAAGTAAGTAAAGTAATGGTCCAAAGCCTAGAAGAGGCTATTATTCTACATACATTGGGGGTCCAAGTATAGGTGCTAGGGTTTTGCTTTGCGATCGCCAAGCGGGTTGTCAACTCTGCTTTCTGTTCCACAGCGAAGCTTTGACGACGTCTAAAGGTCCACAAGCGCGGGATGCCGGCCAAAGCCCTCTTTACAAGAGCCAATTTCGAAATTCGGAGGAAGAGGACAGAGAAGAGAGAGAGAGAGAAAGAGAGAGAGCGAGCGAACGAGAGGAAACAACACAGAACACACGAAAAGCACAGCGAGCAAGACTTGAACGAAAGTGGGTGCTGTATGCCACACCAGTCCCGAGATCAAAGCATCTCCGGACCTATCAAAACGGCAAATTCTCATCATGCTCCCCCCCACCTCCGAAGGCCTGCTTGTACAGAGGCCTATCCACAAGCATGAAGAGCTTCGAAACATGAACGCCAACCACTCAACGCCCTTCCCGAGATCCGAAGATTTTTCAATCCCTTGCACAAGCCGGGAAACTGGTTATCGGAACCCACAGTTTAAAGCAAAGCACCGTAACAGGGAGACATGTAGTACAAGAACAGAGGTTGCAACTTGAGCAACTTAGGTTTGCCTATAACCCCCTTTTACCCCCTAAACCCTAAACCCTAACCCTACAAACCTAGAGCTTTGGGCAACCGGTCTTGATGGTGCCGGACGTATACTGCCCCGTCGACATCTCGGCAGTCTTCTGTCTCTTGCCTGGCCGGCCTGAACAAGACGGTTTACGCTCTCACAACTCGGACTAGCCAGGCGAGGTGCACGGTGCGAGGTCGGCGTGAACAAGACGGTCTAGGATTTAGGGTTTTTTTGGTGTTCAGGGTCGAAGGTTTTAGGTTTGTGGGGCTTGGGTTTTAGTGTGTAGCACATCTCTAGGTCCAGGGTCTGGACTTTTTAGATAAGGGGAACCTGATAGCCTGAAACCTTAAGCCCCGAGGTCCTCAGATCTTAAAATAGCCAGAAGAGGACTCCGTCTGTGACTTGTAGACTTGTGGGCGCCGCACGTGTGATGCTTCGAAGCAGTTCAAGCTGGAATGCGGAGGTCACAAAAGTCTTGGGTTTCGGGCTCAGGGTTCAATCATGTAGGTTCATGTCAGGGCGATGGACTTGGGGTTAGGCGCTGAAAGATTAGAACATAAAACCCAATCGGATGTGATAGCCAGGGAACCGAATCGCGCTGAAGAGCAGGTTGCAGCAGATATGTACGGTGTGTTCTGCCAAGTGGTTCTAGGGGGGGCTGTGTTCAGAGTTGTGGCCTTGCTTCATCAGCATCCGCCACAGGACGCGTACTTACAAGTGAGAATGAAGAGTTTATAGCCTTGGCATCCAGCATCTCACAGCTAGATGCCCATTCCACTACCCTTCCCCATCTGATGACGTCAAAGAAGAAACATGTGATCACACGCTCCAGGTTGCCTGCTGCTTGCCACATTTCCACTGCGGGTGTCGCCTTGGAATGCCGGCTCTTTTCGTTGTGTCTTCACGCCCACCTCCCCTTATGTGCCGGTCGTCGACTATTGCTACAAGGCCGCCCTCGAAAGCACCCTTTGCTTCACGGTCGGGCGACCCGCTCACATATCAGCTCAAATCAAGCACACTAGGGTGACCACCGTACATTACTTGTAGTATACCATAGTAGGTTCTAGTATAGTCTGGTATAGCAGAGTAGAGTAGAGTATGATTCTAGCATAGTACCGCAACCCAGAGAGCCCAATACCCCTTAATTAAGGAATATACCTTAAAACATAATAATGAGGCCCCTATAAATTGAGGTATATTCCTTAACTAAGGGGTGTTGGGTTCTCTGGGAACAGGGGACTGTGGGCCTGATGGGGCCAATGGAATCTGGGATTGCAGGGACGGGCGAACAGCGCCAGGGCCCAGAAAATCTTCGGAAGGCACCGGCTTTGCTGGTTCTACGAGTGCTAGCGGGTGCTCTGCATTAATTTGGGGGCCTTAATAGATGCCGACACTATTTGGGGGGCTCCTTACGATAATCATAGATATACCCCAAAACCCTGTTCTATTTATGAAGGCCCCTAGAGTATTCAAAAGCTTCCTGATGGGATTTGGGCGAGCATGCGCCAAGTGTGCGGCGGCTTTGCCTGGCTTGAAACACATCTGCAAATTGGGTCAGCCATGGCTAGGTGACTGGGTCAGGTAAGCCTTGGTAGATTCAGTGCCTGCGCGTCAAGAAGCAACAACCGAAACCCACGCAAACCTGACGTTGGAATGCTTTCGGAAGCCTGTGCCCCAACTTTTTGCAGACGCGACACCGCCATTTTGACCGGAAAACTCGGTTGCGAGTTCACGGATGGAACTGGGGTCACCTGGATCTTGGTCGGACCCCATTCAACGGCTTGTTTGTGTTCTTTGGATCACCGCCACGAGTTTTTGAGCGGTCAGGGCTAACGTCTATCTCGAGGACAGTCTGAAGCACCATCATGACTCCGCATAATTAGCTTTGGCGCAGAATACTGCTTCTCTTGGTTGGCACACCACTGTTGGTAGAAAGCATACAAAGGATTAAACTAACGACAACAAAAGAGTACAAGTCGTACAGTGGCACTGCATCACTCTATAGTAAGATTCCCCTTTAAAGGAACCCTATACTTAACCCTCAACCCGAAACCCCAATACTATAGGCCTTTCCAACTTACTAGCGCCTTCATGCTTTCTGGGTTGCGTTCAGAGCCTGCAGCCGGCCATCCGGGAGCTGCACCGGGCTAAAGCTGACGATGTTGCCCGGGCCGGGGGGTCCTCCCTTGAGCTCTGTTCGACCTCGGCGCGCGTTTTGGGCATGGGCTTCTATAGGCAGGGCCCCACAACGAGGAACCGGTGGGCAAATGCTGGCCCCTGAGTGCAAACCCGCTCATGCTTTCCTGGCTGTTAGTGCCTGTGTCATCTACGATCGGAATGGCTTCTTGACCTGCATTGCGGGTGAGGAGCTTGACTCGGGATCTCATACTCTAGCTACCTAGCTATCTATCTATCTATCTATCTATCTAGATACATACATACATATATATATAACTATGAGCAACCTGTCCATGCCGCTATCCTGTTGAAGACCAACCTATAGACAGGGGGTGTTTTTGCAGGCTCAGCTCCGAGCTGAACTTGATGTCTTGCGGGTAGCCGGAGGCGTTCAGGAATCCATAGCCGTTCTTCTCGCTGTACTGCTTGACGATGCCGATCCTTGGTCTTGCTGCTGTGTCGAAGTAAGGGTCCCCGCCTTAAACAACCCCTAAACTCCTACCTTTGACAGCTGGGACTCTTACCTGAACCACAGACTTTATATAAGTCCCGAACGCAGCGGTCCCAGGTTTTCAGGCTTGCCGGCACAAAAAAGCTTCCTGTTCTCTGGGCTCATCATCCACTCAGGTGCAGCTGCGGGGAAGCAACCATCAACAACAGACTATTGCGACATACTCCTAAACCCTATAAACCCTAAACGCTAAACCCGAGCCCAAACCCTAAACCCACGAATTATTTTCCCATGTCGAGGGTCATTGAGTTGAGCCCTGTTGCTGCGGCTAGGGCTGCAGGCCTCGGAATCGAAGCTCCCTGGAACAACTAACACCTGCTTTTCTTCGTAGAATCCTTGCCAGATCTAGGTGAAAGCAGTACGGCAAAGTCTGCAGGAGGGCGTTTAATAAGAACCTACTAAGAAGTAGGTTCTAGTGGTTTTAAGGTTGCAGCCATCGTAGGACTTCGTCTCCCTTCCGAGGCAGCTCGGGGCTCGGGCAATCCTAGGGTTTCGGCGCTCACACTCGGACACTCCAGGCGAGGCATGTGGTTCGAGGTCTGCCTACATAAGGGTTTAGGGTGTATAAGGTTTGTAGCACGAACGATTCCTTCTCGAATGTGCCCCTGAAGCCCCGAAAGCCCTGTGTCAATAAGGTTCTTTTTGAGAGAGCCACAAGTACGGCCAAGAAGGGTCCCCTTTAAGGGGCCTCCCTTATGCTACAGGATCCCTATCATTAAGACTCAAATGAAGACCTATCTTGGAGAAGCTCTGTAACGGTCTTCGGAGAGGAGGGGCTTCACCAACACATTCACGACTGTTGGGATGAATTAAACGCTAGGCGTCGACCTGCACCGCAAACTACCGGGGCCAAAAATACATCATCAGAACAGGCTCTGAAAGCTGATGATACCATGAGGGGTAATTTTACGCGGATTAGGAGAGGACTGCTATCACTGAGGTTTGAGCGAGGCCCCCGTATGAATCTCGGGCTGCATCAGTTCTAAGTGCCCTGCGACATCGGACCACCGGCAGAGGCAAAGGCCTCGACTCATGATACTCCGAGACATCTCTACAGTGCAATGAAAATCACGCACCCTAGGGTTTCGACACACACACACACACACGCGCGCACTCACTCGCACAAGGCAGGCATGGCTTCGTGGGTCTAGGGTTTAGGGCCCTGACCCTGAAACCTCGAGCCTGACAGACATCCGCTGACTTCGGCAATTAAATTCGCTGTGGGGTATCGGGAACCAACCTGTTGGTTGCAACATGACGCGGTCTATAGGGTTTCAGGAGTCAGGATTTCGGGTTTCGAAGGTTCTTAGGATTTTAGACTTTCGGCTTCAACTTGGCCAACCGGGTGAAGCGTCTGAGAGGTGGTTAGTGAACTGAACTCGCACAACCAGAAAGAGCTGTGAGCCAACAGGTAGACAGACTTACCATTTTCCACCTCCGGTCAGAAACTTGGCAAAGAACTTCATCTTGGATTGCAAGATTCCAACAACTCCCGGCTCCCATCCCGGCAAAACCCCTAAACAGGAGGCATACCAACTAATACCAACAAACGCAATACTTGAGCAAACTCAACCGCCAAAATAATGTAAACAGAGCCAGATGTCGGTTCACAGAGATCTTAAGAAACATACTGCTCTCTCGAACAGTAACGATGCGTTTTGGCCTGCGTTGTGTTGGAATCTCACTTACTTGAAGAAGTGGCAAAACACCTCGGTAGAAGCGTCGGTAACTTCTCGAAAGCTCTCGTCCCTGTACTCGAAAGTCCATCAGTCCTGGACCCTGGTCCCTTATTTCGGCTCTGTTGGGCGTTGAGCAATGCCCGTAAGCCGCTGACAGGCCCGCCGGCGAAGCTGGGCGCAGCTCCGAAACCGGGCGCCGCTCCAAAGCCGGGCGCCGCTCCGAAGCTGGGCGTCGCTGCGAAGCCGGGTGCCGCTCCAAAGCCGGGACCCTTGACGCCCAATCCTGAGCTGTTCTAGGACTCGAGGTGTAATGACTCATGAAGGAATCTAGGGTTTAGGGTTTACAGGGTACTGTCATCGTGTTTGTAGGCTGCTGTGTCCCATGACGACTCAGGCAGAAACCAGGTTTACGCTGGTCGCTAAAGTTCATAGGTTTGGGTGCTTTTGCATGCAGGGGCTGTGTAGGACAATCTGCCGTGGCTTCTGGTCGTTCCGCACTTAGGATAGGTCGGATAGGAGCACTGTTTCAGATCAGCGTCCTCAAGGGGACGTGGTTTAGGCATGTACAGAGCTATGACTCCCCCAGTACAGACTCGGCCCAAAGGGTTGATTTCGGATTCAACAAGGTCTCGAGAACATAGGGCCCCAAGAAAGCACATAAGCAAAAATTAGGATAGGGATATCCCATATAAACCCCCTTATAATGAAGCCCAATAAGGTAGGGATATCCTTGTAAAATGCTTATGCTTATGTCCTGTTGGGGTCCCAAAGAACAGGGTTCCTCAAGCAGCTTGAGACGATGTGCAGCGGCAAAGCGCGTAACACCTCCGCTCAAGTTTGCTAAGGAGAATGCCTTGCAAGGTATTGCTTCAGACACATCTTGTGCACTCGGGTGTAAGCTAACGGTATCTTGATAACCTTAAAGCCGCAAGCAAAGATGCAACAATGAGAATCACACCACCGATAATTAAACGAATCCCGAAACTGTTCTTACATACCACATTCAACTACATCCGAAACATCAAAACCCCAGACCCCCAATTCTAAGTTTCACCCAAGGAGCGCTCTGCAATCTCACCACTTTGGAACATGACTCGCTTCGCGTTGAGCTTGCCATCGGGTCTGGCAACCTCAAACGACTCATCGATTTGCTTGGGTCTGCTAGAAGGTGGAACAACATGAAAAGCAAGTTCCTTTACATTTCGCACAAGATAGAGAACCGTAGATACATTCCCACAAAGTCTATGTCGTATGCATTAGTGAACAGCCTAGGTCTGGCCCATCAAAATCCTATCAGGACACACGAACACACAGACGAACTGGTGCCAGCGAGTCGCAAATTCCACGACAACCGGGACACCTGAACAGACAGGCTGTCTCATGGCAACTGTGCCAGCATGATGCCATTTGGGCCTTGTCACGGTATGATGTTCAAAAAATGCAAGACCCCCGTAAGCCGAATGCTCTTAACCACAGACGAGTGGCCAGCGAGCCGGGGATCAGGTTGCATGCCCTCCAGAGCGGCCAGGCTGTTCTTGTCAAAGCGGATATCTTCCGTCAGCGCGCTTGAGGTAATAAAACCTCACACTGGGCCACCGGACAGCGTTTGGCTTAACACGTCCGGGGTCAGGGTAGGCGCCCATGTTCCACGAGATACTACGATTGCTCGGGAAAGCAGAGACACTATGTCAGGAAGTTTCGGACACGGGATCGAGGCGGGAAGCTTGTTGTGCTGTATGATGCATGCTGTCTAATTAGCATGCACATTAAGGATTCTGTGGGTTTTGCGAAGGGGGGGGCATATGTATGATGTGTATTTATACACATAGATATACATATACAGCTGCAAAATGCTACACATATGAGTGTATGTATACATTTACATATATATATATATCCATATATATATATACATATGCACACACACACATATATATATATATACATACACATACTTACACACACATATGCATATACATATACATATATATATATATGTATATATATATATATCTGATACATATACATACACACATACATACATACATACATACATACATACAGACAGACAGACAGACAGACAGACAGACAGACATGTGTGTGTGTGTGTGCGGTGCGCGCGTCTGCGTGTGTCTGCTATGTCATGGCTCCTGTGATTATCAGCAGGTCCTTAGGTCTGCCAAATTGTCGGCAGGCTTGTTCAAGCCATCTGTTGAAAAGGCTGTTTTGGGGCCCGCCCATCCATCACGCCCACTGCGGGTTTTGTCTCTGACTCTTCATCTCTGCATCTCTCTCTTTCTGTCTCTGAATCCCTCATGCAGATAAACACGAATCAGTGGCCTGCCAGATCCCAGCAAAGACCGAGGTCCCGACCCCAACCATGTCTTTCCTGATGAGGACTTTTTGGTAACTTCGTGGCTCCCGGGCCGAAATGGATTGTTCTTGTTATTAGGAAGCGTTGTCGATGCCATGCCATGACTAGTGCCTTGCCATGGTGCTCTGTTGCTGCATCTTGCTGCTGCTGCCTCTTCTATCGATACCGCGACGGCGTTCCTTGTGCCTACCATTGCTGTTATCACAGTTCCGCTGTCCTTACCGCAACATGCTACAGTACCGTATGTGGCTTCTTCCTGTGTTGGACTGCGCTGAACCGGAGCCTAAACTGCTGGGGTCTGTGTCTTGTCGGGGATTTTGGAGAGCTGCCAGGCCGTGAACACATTCCCCACGCACAAGCCTCTTGCTTTAAGTCCTGAAAAAACTACGACAATAAAGATTGATATGTGTGCATGTGCATGTACACATAATTACATTCAAACATGCAAGTCCACGTGCGAGAGGCTGTAGGCATGAAGAAATGACATACACAAAAAGGTGCATATCCATAATCAAGTAATTACGCAAAGCTGGAAGTAAACATAACTCAACATGTGTAGATATATATATATACACATGTACCTATAGATGTAAGTTATAATGCGTGTATATGCATGCATCCGTGCATATAAATACACATGCATACATATACACCGTCGGCCAGTAACAAGCCCTAGACCCTAAACCCTAAATTACTAAGCCCTAAACCCTAAATTACTAAACCCTAAACCCTAAATTACTAAACCCTACATCCTAAATTACTAAACCCTAAACCCTAAATTACTAAACCCTACAGTAAACCCTAGACCCTAAAACTCTTAACCCTAAACCCTATAGACCCTAAACCCTAAACCCCTAAAACCCTAATCCGAGCCCAGAGTCGCTGTAGGACTTGATCTTGCCGGGCACAGGAAGGCCCTCAACCTGGGTGGGCTGGCAAATGGTTTTAGGGTTTAGGGCTTTAGGGGTTTGGGGGTTTAGGGGTTAGGGTTTAAGGGTTTAGGGGTTTAGGGGTTTTAGGGGTTTAGGGTCTGGGGGTTTTTAGGGGTTTAGGGTTTAGACTCTCGCGACTCGGGCCATGCAGGCGAGGTTGGTCCACGGTTCGCAGGGAGAGGCGCATGTGGCCGCAAGTCAGCTAACGACGATCCCTTGCTCCAAAGGCCTTGTCCAACCAACAGAGCTGAGTAACACATAACGCCACCGCGGGTTTAGGGTTTAGGATTCAGGGTTGAGGGGATTAGTTACAGACTACTTGAGACCGTCGTCAGTCAAACATGGAACTGGTAACAACTCAGAAATGGGGGGAGCTTGACTTCTTGCCCTGCACTTAAATGTGTAATTATCTAAATCAGGGTCCAGGGCCTAAAAAGGGACTCTAATTTGGAGAACTACTCAAATGCACTTGAAGGAAACCCAAATTCGGGTCTCGGGGACCGTAATTATAGGAGAACCCCCTCCCCGTGCATGTAGGCTTGAGATTTCAGGGCTGACTGTGCAGACCCGCTGCATGGGGGATCATCACGGTGGTGGCTTTCTGTCGGCCATCCAGACCCTCTTGCGCGTCGAAGTAGACGGTTCCTGAGGTGATGCCACGTCAAAACCCCATTTCCAACCTCCAACCCCTAACCCCTAAACTTAACCAAGGGCTCAGGGTACGGAGCTTCTCGCGGCCAAGGCTACCGCTGCTTCCTACCACAAGCACGAAAACCCACCACACATACCACACATCGGTAAGCCAAGCAATGTATACTAAACTGTAATTACTAGACTGTACTATACTGTACTGTAGAATACAGGCCGTGATCTGCAAGACACTGTAGAGGAACTGGAAAAATCCAGTTTGCGTTTCTTACGGTCTTTCCTAGGTGCAATGCCCCTTGGTGGCATTTTTCAGATCGAGTCATAATTAAATATTAAATATTGAATGTTCTAGTATGGTTCGGTTGAGGGCTTGGGACGAAGGTTTGAATGGGTCCATCTGCAGCGGCTTCTGCCCGCATCTGCTAGCACTCGCTTGTCGGACACACCTGCCCGTCGACCGTCGGATTGACAGGCCAGGCGTTCCAGCAAGTGCTTTCTGACACTAAATTCTCCGAAACCTTGCTGATAAGTACCTTATAAGAAGCCCGGCAAAATAACCCTTACCCCGTCCCTTTCTTCCCTGAGACCGGCACTCCCAGTGAGAAACTTGCCCTGCACATCTTGAGCATCATCCGGCCTCAGATCCATGATGAAAAAACGCGCACCTCAAGGGCTTCCATAGGGACCAATAGAGCTTTGAAGGGATTGTTCAGGTGATTTTGAGCTTGGACTTTAGGGTGTTAGGCACGGCGCGTTTTATCTTATAGGCTTATGAGTTTAAGTACATTCTGGAAAAGGTTGCTTTTGCTAGGGGTTTAGAATTTTGGCTGCCGAGTTGAGTTCTGCGAGATATGCCAGCAAAACCTCATATTGAGGTTCTCATCCTCATTCATCAACATTGTGTACCCACGACACATCAGGTTAGCACAACGGCCACCAACGACGAACAAGTGCTCATGAGTCAACCCAGCGCTACTTCAGGCCCTAAAACCTGAATCGATTTGCAGCAGTAGCCAACATACTAGCAGGAGGGAAGCTGCGGCAGCAGTGGCAGCAGCTAGTGGTTCGCAATGTTAGTAGTAGTGGTCGTCGTCGTCGTGGTGGTGGTGGTGGTGGTGGTGGTAGTAGTAGTAGTAGTAGTCGTCGTCGTCGTTCTCGTAGTCGTGGTCGTGGTCGTGGTCGTGGTCGTGGTCGTAGTCGTAGTCGTAGTCGTAGTCGTAGTCGTAGTAGTAGTAGTAGTAGTAGTAGTAGTAGTAGTAGTAGTAGTAGTAGTAGTAGTAAGGGGGCTGGCAGTGTCCACAAGCATCCCCCAAAC